TCAATACTGAAGCACTTTTGAATGTAACAGAAACAGAAATCTAGGCAAATCGAGAAGTTGCCAAAATGTGAGCCTCTGGACTTCATATGCTGATGGGATTAGGAGGCAGATGGGTGTGATGGGGTGGGGCGGAGCTCCTGGAATCTGCCTCTGTGTGTGAACAAATGATCAAATTATATGAAGTTGATGGGGGATGGGGACTTACCATAGAAAAACTGTTGTGCAGTCATCCTACAGCAAGGGAAAGCTAAGCCAGGGCATCTTTGCTGTGTTTCATTAGCTGCCCCACTTTTCCTCTTACTTGCTGTGGGCTAACTGTGGGCATGTAAACAAGCTGCTATACAGCATCTCTTGTGTGGTAAGTCTCTACCTTTTTTAGCTCACTTGAATTCAATTATTCATACCTCAGTCCCTTTGTGGAACTAGCCCTTATTATTTTGGTGTCTGCTTTTTTCTCCTGTAAAATAGAAATAACACACTCCCGTAACTCAAAGGGTTATTGGAAGGATAAATACATTAGATTACAAAGTGCTCTGATACCCAAGAGTAGGTACCATTTTAAGTATTTAAAGTAAAAACGAGGATGTTAAATAACCAGCAAGGAAAGGTCGTGGGCTGTGTATTATCTTAAACTGTATGACTGTGTATTTAAGCTGCCTGCATGTATATGTTGAGATAAAAAAAAGCAGTCATAAGATATTTTAATTGCAATGCTGTTCAGTACACGTTGTAAAGAGCTCAAATTACGATTGCTCTTTCCAATGCAAACAGGGTTAATTGAGTTAATAATGTGCTATTATGAGGCTGCAAAAATGCTGTCTGGCTGGAGGATCTATTTTAATAAATGTGGGATGTAGGTGAGCATTTCTCTCTCTCTCTCTTTCTCTCTCTCTCACAAAAGCAAAGTAATAATCAATGGGTGGAGTGTTTGTCATGTCTAAGACTCCTGCTTAAGGTGGGGGTGCAATGAATTCCTTAACTGGAATAGTACCTGCATCCAGCATCCCTGATGAAGTTGTGGGTTGGCTGGGTGAAGAAACACAGTACAGATTTGTAGATGCTTGTTAAATGACCTCCATAGGGAGGCAGTCTTACAAATAACTTACTTGCATACTTTCTTTACAGGGCTGCATAGGACATAGCAGATTGGTTTCCTAAGCTCTGGATGGTATATGCCCAGGCTTCATGCAGAGCCCTCCTCCATTAAATTTTCTCCTAACTAGATACCACGCACCTCTTAGGGCTCTATTATCAGGTTATGTTGTGAGTTGTGCTTAAAGGCTAATGTACTTTGGATTTTTATCCACCCCTTAGCATGTCTCTTGCTTGTACCCTCTTCATGATACTTAAAATCATCCTTAGGACATGTTTTACACGAGCATTCCTTGACTTCAAACTGAAAACTAACCATTCCTTTTCCTTGTTACAAGTTTTTCATCTGTTCTTCCTGGTAGGTTTCTTAAGATTTTTTTCATTGGAATTTTTAGAAATTGTCTTATTGCCCAATACAGTACCCTGAGTGCCTTTGGGGGAATACATAGAGGGCATATAACAAACAATGGGCTCTCTTCCCTGACAGCAAATACTACCTAGACCATTTCATATGTGAAATAAATAAGATGTAGAAAGTTTATATAATCCAAGCTATTTTACTCATTGCTTTTAAAATTACTTTAATTTTTCCCATCTCTGTGTTTTCAGGGTAGTCTACAATGAGGTCATACAGACCTCCAAGTACTACATGAGAGATGTGACTGCTATTGAATCTGCTTGGTTATTGGAACTGGCACCTCACTTTTACCAACAAGGAACGGTACGGAATCGACATAGACCCCAAACGGTACCAGTGCCGTATTGGCAGCTCTTGTACTCTAAGCTATAAATATTTGTGTGTGTTATTTTGTTCTACAGGAATAGCAGTGAATTGGGTTTCAAATCGTTATAACAATCGTTTTTATATAAACCAGAGTAAGCAGTTTTTGCCAGAATAGAGAACATACTGTCTTTCTAAATCTGACTCAGAGTTGCATTTCTCCATTTTCAGTTCCTGCAGAAATTCAGCTTTGAGCTATTTTTCACCTGAGTATAGGTATTCAGTAGGTCTTCTGTCAGCAGCTGTGACTTTCTGGAGGCCCTGTGTATACAAACTTAAAAAAATCAGGAACTTTTCTGTGTGTAGCACACATTTCTGTGCAATATATTATTTCGAGCAAATAAATGCAAACTAGGTAGATGTATGAGTAGTTAATACTTGGCATAGTGAAGAGCAGGGTCCCTTTATAGGAAAGCTTAATGCAGGGTCTTAGATTTTGTACTTGGCCCCTTTTTATTAGGATTTGTTCCCTGGCTCTGCTTCATTTGAAGCAAATGAATCTATGAATCACGCAGTTCTGAAGTCTGTAGGCACCATAACAAAAAACTACACTAATTTAAAGTTAGGCTGGATTTTGGGGAGGGTTGTTTGGGGGTATGTTTGATACCCTACTTGCACAAGACTATCTACTGCAGGGGCAGGCAACGCTTTTTGGCTGGCGTGCCGAAAAACACTACAATGCCTACCTTGGGAGGTGCCAGAGTGCCGGTATGCCAGAAAAACAAAGTGAGGGCAGGGGGTTACATGGCAGGATGCCCTGTGCCCCCCCAGCCCTGCTGCCCCTTGCTTCCCACCCAAAGCCCCTGCCCCCCAGCCCAGGCTCTGTGGCTGTCAGCAGCTACCCCAGCCCTGGGTAGCTGCTGGAGCCCGGGCTGCTTCCAGCAGGGCTTGCAGCATCCCAGATGCCTGCTGGGGGCAGCCCAGGTTCCTGGCTGGCAGCAGCTACCCAGAACCGGGGCCGACTGCAGCTGGGACAGTGGCATCAGCTCCATGCTGGAAGCAACTGCGTGCTCGTGGAGCCGATGCTGGAGCTGTGGACCCCGGTGCAGCTGTTTGAAGCCTGCCCGCTGCTTGCTGCTGCTGCAGCTGCCCAGAGCCTAGGCTGGCTACAAACAGCTGCGCCAGGCTCTGGAACCCAGTCACCAGCTCTGTGCCAGGAACATGGGAGAGACCAGGGTTGCACTGCCTCGAGCCTCTCCCCCACTGCCCGTTCTAAGGCGTGCGTGCACATGCCAGTACAGAGTTAATACTGGGGCTCCAGAGACCGGCACAGCTGTTTGCAGCCTGCTGGCTGCAGCTGGCCCTGGCTCTGGGTAGCTGCTGCCAGCCTGGAGCCTGGGTTGTTCCCAGCAGGCAGCTGGGACACTACAAGCCGTGCTGGGAGCAGCTACCCAGAGCCGTGGCTGGCTGTGGTGTGCCGAGCAAAATGGTCTCACGTGCCATGCTCAGCACGCATGCTGGGGGTTGCCGACACCTGATCTACTGCATACAATAAACTAAACAAAATAATAGGAATGAGCCATGTTGGCATGATAGGCACCACATTTTCAGACACAAATGTGATGTGTT